CCCCCCCCATAGCGGGGGGGGGGGGGGGGGGGGCGGGGCTCAGCCCTCCCAGCCCCAACAAGGAGACAAGTCATAAACCAGCCCCATTTGGGCATAAACCACTTTAGTTTTTATTATTTATTCACCAAACAGGAGCATGGCCAGATCCAGGATAGACACCCCCAGGCAGTGCCAGGAGCTTGAGCAGCCCGGAGCAAGTCAGGGGGATGGGGATCACCGAGGGGGTCCCCAACTGCACCCCAATGCTGCAACATGGCAGAAGGGTGCGATTCTGCCCCCAAATCTCCCCAGGGAGCTGCCATGGGATGGGGTTCCCCATGGAGGACCACAGTTAATGGGTAGCAGTAACACTCCGTGCCCTGCTCTGGCTATTCCCCTGCTTTGGGGATTTCCAGGAGGTGCTGGGGGAAAAAAAAAATCAATCAGGGGGGAGCAAAAAAAAAAAAAACCAAACAAAAAAACCCACAGCAGTTCAAGGATTTGGGGGTAACATCCCCGCTCCCTTGGCCCAAAGCTGATCTCAGAGGATCAGGAATAAAAGGGAAAGAGTAACACCACGATTACAAAAAAAAAAAATATGAAAAAAAATAATCTGCTCTCAGGGCAGCAACACAGTAAGACCCAGGTTGCATCTTCCCCAGCTTGCTGCACCATAAGAGAAAAAAAAGTATATATAAATCAAAGAGAAGGGAAGCTGAAGGGCCGAGAAGGAACAGGGAAAAAATCAGGTGTCCTCAGCCCCAAACCGCTGCCTTTTCTCCGCCAAGGCGATGGGGAAAGGCAGGAGGCGATGGCAGCCGCCCCACAGGCAGAGCATCACACCGGACCCCGGGGTGAGCCCCCACAGGGTAGCGCTCCCCCCAAAACCCCACACAGCCCCAAAGCCAGCTCTGCTCTTCCAGCCAGCCCCACCACAGCTGAAAATGGGGGCACTGGTCCCTGGGAATACACAGGATGAATCCACTGGGAGCATGGACCACAGCAAGATCCAGGGGCGAGGAAATAGGTGGGGGGGACATGGAGGTTCCCAGGATGGTTTGGGGAAGGCACTGGCCCCAAACCCCTTCTCCTCCCCAAACTCTCCTTATTTAGTCACAGAGCAGGCAGCTGGAAGCGCTTACCCCCCCAAAAAAGTGCCAGGGGGGCTGTTGGGAGGAAAAGTTGGGGAGTAACCCACGGGAGAGCTGCTGTTCCACCCCCCCAAAAAACCAAAACAAAACAGGGGGAGGAGGTGATGACCTGCGAGAGGCTGCACAGGCAGCAGGACGGGTTATTTTTAGAGTCAGGTTTGCAAAGCTTCCCCAGCTCTAAATAAAAATAGGAATAGGGGGTGAACCCCCCACCCAAGCCCCCCTTTTCTGCCCAGCCCTGGTGCATCAGGCACAGGGCAAGGGTCCCTCCATGCATCCCAGTTCCCATCCCAAAAACCGAGCCTGATATCCAGCCGAGCTCAGGCTACTCAAAAACCCTCTGGACACAAAACAAGACGCCAACAAGCCCGAAGCAGATGATGAAAATAGGGGGGTGAGGTTTGGGGGTGCAGGGGAGGCAGAACCAGAGGGTCCTGGGGCCACATGCACCCCATAAAGCCTGGGGAGACCCAGTCCCAGGGCGGGGGGGGGTGTATCAGCACGGCTGTGATTTCTGGAGGAGGAACACGCCGCAGTCAGCGTGCTGGGGCAGCAGCCGGTTGGGGACCTGCCGTGACTGAGCCTTGTGCAAAAATATAGGAGGAAAAAAAATTATATATATAAAAAATATATATAAAAATTGTTCAGAAATATGTTGGACCAAGGGCTGTGTTGCAAATTGCCCCACTGAGCCCGGCACGGCCGGGGAAAGCTGCGAGCGGGGCGGCCGTGCTCGGGCTTCCCAGCAGCATGCAGCAGAGCTGCCAGGGACATACGTCCCTGCAAACAGTCCCCAAAAAACCCCAAAACATTTGTAAAAAAATACCAACCCTAAAGTTTTCCTTTAGGGAAGGTGTGTGTTTGGTTTGGGTTTTTTTTTTTCTTTTCACCCCTTCCCTTAATTAAGAACTCAAAAGGGAGAAGCCAAAAAGGGGAAAGAAAAATCATTTTTCTACCGTTTAAAATCAAGCCAGCGGCTCATCAGGATGGTGTCAGACAAGCTGGGACTAAACTGGATTCAGGCTGGGGCGAAGGTGACTTTTCAGCAGCTGCAGGTACAAAAGTCTCTGGGGCACCTTGGGACCCTCCAGCCGGGGGAAAAAAAAAAAAAACCACGCAATACCCGGCTGGGGAAAAAAAAATAATAAGCAACCCCCCCAAAAAACCCAACACAAAAACACACACAAAAAAAGAAAAAGAGGCAGGAAAAGTGAAAAGCCAGAGTTCAGTGGGACAAAGCCGATGGTGGTCCCTGGCTCACAAGTGATGGTCAACGCTGGATTTATCCCTGCAAGCCCCCCACAACCCCTCGCTCGGGGAGTTTTGCATGGGTCCCAGGACTCAAAGGGAAGAAGCAAACCCCAAACTAAAAGACTGGGGATCCCCCCACCACCACCACCACCAAGTTGAGAGAAAACCCGACCCAGGCTCTAGTTGAATATAAGTTTTTATCTTGATGCAACATCGTTAAAACCGTCACAAATCGAAACAACAGGTCGTTAAAAACGCTTTGCACGATCAGTACCTAAAATGCACCAGGCTCCCAAGCTCGCTTTGTCCGCAAGACCCTTGTGTTTTCCCCAAGATTTTTTTTTTTATGGTTTTTCTTTTTTAAATAAGCAACTTGTTAAAAAAAACCCCGCTCCTCCGCACAGGATCGGCCCCGCTTTCGCTCCAAGCACAATTGCACGAATTATTCTTATTTTCTTTTTTTTTTGCGCAAGAAATAATGTGCATTTTCTTTCCTTCTTTCAACATCGAGGTTAAAATAATATTCCGTTTCCCGAGGGTTAATAAATAAATCTGGTGCATAGTGAGATAGCAGCCAACCGTTTGCAGTCCATATATTACTATATTGCCTTTCAGGTCACCCTAGAATTGTTACCTCTCCCCCCCCACTATTTTTTAAGAGCATAGATAATTTTAAATCTCTATAAAACAGTATTATTTAACCCAATTGATTCCTGTATATAGTGCATTCGGCTTCTTCCCAACATCGTTAAATTAACTCGGATATTATTTGCATGCTATTACATACAAACTTTTAAGACTCGTGTATTTTTTTTTTCTTTTCTAAAGGATTTTTGGGGTTTTTTTTTTTTCTTTTTCTTAAATCACCAAGCAAAATATAGGCTCAAGGGAAAAAAAAAAAGGCAGAAAACTAACTAATTTCTACATATTTACAAGGGTGAATAAGTTAAATGTGGCTCAGGTTTGCCGGCCGGGAGGGGGGTGCGGGCGGCGGGGCCGGGCAGGGCGCAGCGCTGCCGGGGCCCCCCCCGGGAT